AAGGGTAAGGTTAGTAGTATTTTGTTGCTGAATGTAGTAGTTATTTTGGTTCTGTTGTTTGTAGTGTGCTGTCTTTGGTTTATATTTGAAAGCATAGTTAACAAAGTGTTAAAGGTCTCCTGAAAATTTGTTTTTAGTAATAGAACTTTTTATTGAGGAATCTTTAATCAAATTATGTTCATAAAAAGGAAGAAAGTAGTTAAGGACTGTAAGGTATGACCTAGTGTGTACTGTCAAATCTCTCTTTTAGACAAAGTTTTTATTTGCATTTGTGCTTGCAATATTGCAGATAATTCTTCAATGCAGTAATACTGCTTCTGTCTTTGTCTTAGATGTCACTTTTACATGTGTTAAACACCAATATTCCCCCCCCAATTTGTTCTCAAATACTTTAGAAGTTACTTTAAATTTAAATGACTTGCTTCACAGGGCTCTGGATAAGCTCTTTTTATTGTTTATGACATGTCTCCATTTGTTTTGAGTTTGTGCTTGGGTAGCACCAAAACTAAGAATCCTGAAAACTTCCCTTAGATAACCTTTTTGGTTAGGGCTAGAAGCATTTTAGTAGGGTGGGGGTTTTCTGAGGGGTTTTTTTGGTTGGTTTTTCATTGGGATTTTTTTTTCTGTTTATACGTTTTAAAACTGTAAGAGGCTATAGGAGGAAGTTTAAAAAGCAGAATGAATAGATAACAGTCGTCTGCCAGTGGTTGGTAGCTGATATTTCTGTGAGTGCCTTCAGTTCATATTTTGAAAAGTGCATGTAATTTTGCTTGTGAACTGTGTTTTTCTCGTTGATATGTAGAGGTGTGTGAACTTCTGTATGCAATAGAAGACTTGAAGCTGGGCTTCAAATCGCTCTCTCCCACTTGGGTTTCCTGCTGGGGAAATGTGTGCTCTCGTCTTCCCTTCTCACCAGCCACCTTTCTTGGAAGAGTTTTTGGGTTTGATAGTTTTGGCAGCCTGAGAAAACTGCATATGCCATGCAATAAATAGTGCCAAGTTCTTTAGCCTACCTACTTGAATAATTTTTAGGTAAATATATTATGTCGAGTTTGTCCTAAAGTAAATCAAAGTAGAATATATGTGCTCTTACATGTTAATAATATGCCACAATATGCAAGAGTTTCTTTTCGAAAGCTAGGATGAAATAAAATGTAAGGCTGTTCACACAGCCTCTGGTTTGAAGGATTACTTTCAAATTATATGATTAAGTAATTGCACGGTTATATTGTTTAGCCTGTAAGCTGGGCAGTTCTCAGTGTATAAAGTGTCAGGTGTTTGCCCTTCTATCAATCAGGATACAGGATGGAAATCTCAGTCCTGCTTCTTGGGGCCAATGTTTACATTAAGTAAGGAGTCTTCCTCTTGCTTTCTAACCCATTCTCCGCTACCCAGGAGTAGGGTTCCTGAGTATCATCTCTCTCATCTTTCTGTGTTACTTATGTGACACTAAGGAGCGCAAGGACAACTTAAAAAGCAAATGGTTGAGGCAGAATCAGTGTCCTGACCAGTGAAGTGCTGGTGCCTTTCCAGATGACTTTGCCTGCCCACCATATGTGGCTCAAAGGAGCCTTGTTGCACTGTGGAGCCTTTACAATGGTCCCACCTGGCTTCAGCAGTCGCTGGATTGGAGCCTGAAAGAGGAGAGAGTGTCTTTTGCCAGCTCTGTGGAATTAGCTTCAGTAATGAGAATGAGACTTAGTCCTGGCTGATCTGCAAAATGAACGTGGAAGGGAACCACCATCTGTATCTGCGAGTTGTTTTTGTTGTGTGGGATGATGATGTAATTGAAGTCTGAATCCGATGCATGAAGAATAATCTGAATGTGGTTCCTTATCACCTTCTGAAGGTATTTTGGGAACTGCTTTATATCTAAAAATGGCGGGTTGGTGATCTGCAAGCCAGGCAAATTAAAAACACCCTTGA